TTTATGAAGCGAGCGCTCTACCACTACACCACTACCGCATAAACAAGTTTAATTTTACAAAAACAAAATTTTCAAATACAATAATCAATTTTTTTTTTAAATTTACACATACTGAAGTTACAACTTCAGTATGTGTAAATTTGTCGCTAATATTTACTTGCGCTGTCAAATCTCCCCAGGTCGCAATTGTTTATTGAATTTAATTCTAAAATATCATATAGCAGTGAAAGTTCTTATTACTAACGTTTTATTCGACTGAAATTCTATTTGATTAAAAAAATTCTATCAAAAAATATTGACGTTTTATTTGACTAAAACAGTGAAAACTTTTTCAACTTTTAACATTTTATTAGAACAAAATTCTATTCTATTGAAAAACGTTTCGCTTCAAAGACCTTTGACTTTGTATTAATAATTTAGATTCAAGTCAATAAAATAAAAGCAACAACAAAATGCCTTCAAATAATGGAAAATACTATTTTAAAAAGAAATATTACAAAATTCAATCAAAAAATATTGTTATTTGAGAAATATAAAGAACAAGTGTGCAAAACTATAGTCAACAATGTCAATCAGTAGTATGCAAAAGTCCTCATCAGTCTATATCAGTAGTAGGGAGCGTCCTCATCAGTCTACATCAGCAGTAAGTGAAAGTCCTCATCAGTCTATATCAGCAGTAAGTGAAAATCCTCATCAGTCTGCATCAGTAATAAGCCAAAATTCTCTTCAGCCTACATCTTGTTGTTGGTTGTGGTTGAATTGAAGTTAAGGGGTACGTTTTGTCTAGCCCAGCAAATGCAACATACATGTCTCCAAAATATATTGCTAAGTATATAAACATTATTTTTGATTTTGTCAAAAATCCTTTACTTCAGTCACTTAAAAGTGGTGGAAGTTTTTCTTTTTATTTGGATTAAACTTCTGATATTACTTTGATTTAACAATTAACTGTACATGCCACTTTTAAACACAATGGCATTGTAAAAAAACATTTTATTGGGATAGTTCCTTTAAGTAGACACAGGTTCTAGTCTATCAACTCTAAATGTTTTTGATGTTTTTGAGCTAATTTAAAAATGCTTACTTTGTTTGTATGGACACAACAAGCATCAATTCTGGTATAAAAGGAGGTTTAAAAGCCTACATTGAAGATGCTGCGCCACTGTGTGTTTGAGTTGGGTATATAAGTCATAAACTTGCGTTATGTTTTAAATATATTTTGAAGTACTTTCCTACTATTATGGAGGTAGATATTTTTTTACCTAACCTATGGAAGTTTTTAAGTACCGCGCACTAGCCATGCATTTGCTGCAGGAATGCTCTGAAATCTATAGAGAGCTAGAAACCAAAGTTCCAGTGTGTCCAAGTGTAACTCGTTGGACTGCACAGGATCGAGCTTGTTTAGTTGTGTTCAAAGGTTATTAACCAATTTTACAAGCTTTGTCAACATGCTATACCGAACGAAAAGAAGCAGAAGCACTCGGGCTATTTATACAAGCGAGTTCACAATCTAACATTGCAACAATATTAATTCTGTTAGATGTGTTTGAAGCGATTCGCCCACTTGTGCTAGCACTACAAAGTTCGCAAGTAGGAATTAGTTTCAGCAACATTCCAACTTATATGAATCAAGCTAATCATAGTTTAGATGGTTTAATTTTGAGTAGTTGGCGAAAGTATTTCACGGTAAACAAATGAAATTAGTGACAGATGAAATAACTTTTTTGTTACCAGCCACTAGCCAATTAAAAAGACAAAACAAAAACTTTGTCCTAAGTGAGTTTGAGTTAAACATTTTTAGATTTTTTGTTTTAAAAGTGAACTAAAAAACCCTTTCTGGAAATTTGGCAATCGCTTTTGATTTTTGACTCATTACGATTGCCTAAAACACTCAGTAAACTGTTTAGTTATGGGAAAAAAAGCTTAGCAACTCATAACTCACTATGGCAAACCAAAAAGCAGTTCACATTCCAGATATCTCAGAAACTGAGAAAAAAAACGAATTTTAAAATTATGTTATTTACTAAACGCTGAGAATGTGAAAACAGTTTTGATAAATGTATATTGAAAGAAAAAGATCAAGAGGTAGTCAATAATTTAATTAGGTCAACAAACAATTTTACACCTCAGAGTTATGGAAAGTGATTAATAATGTGTTTTAAAAGTGTTTATGCTAATTGTATGTTTTTAACGGGTTTTTTGAAAAAAACCAAAAACCATAGGTTTTTTTAAGAAAAAACAAAAAAACCAGAGTTTTTTTGGTTTAAATTAGGTTTTTACTAAAAAATGCGGTATTTAGTTATCCTTTTAAATTAAAAAAAGCATATCGTATTTCATTTGAGTAAACTATATTCTTTATCAATATTATTGTTATATTTCATCAAAATTATTTAATACATCATTGTTTAATGTTCTATATATAAATACAAGCTTTGCTGCTTTTTCTACCCCCAATGGGTTTCTTAACTTAGAATGAACAAAACCAAAAGTTGAAAAAATTCTTTTGATTCCAGCACTCGAAGCTGGTGCATTTAATAAACCTTCAATATCCATTATGTTATAGTAGATTTGGCTTTTAATTTGAATATTATTGTTAACAAATTCTTGAACTCTATCTGCGAAATTCATGGCAGCTTCATTTTTGTTTTCAAAAATATTAGATCCAATATTTCTGAAAATGATCTAGGATCTAGTGTGTTTGCCAGGAAATGAGCATCACTGACAGTCTGAAGGTATCTAGATTCAATTTTTTTTTTTTTTTTCGTTTGATAAAATTGATAAACTGTTCATCAAATCTTTAAAAATTTCAAGTCACTTATTTTTGTTTAATCTCTTTGCAACTTATCTAGAGCTACTGCAATTGTGTTTCGCTTTATCTGTATATCACTTACTTTTTTACCAATCACGGGATCCAAGTCTTAATTTTTTTCAAACATTGTAAAAATAATGGTGCATTTGTTGACATATTTTTCAAGTGAATCACATAGAGAATTCCAGCGAGTTTCAGTAGGAAGTGGCAATTTTGTTTCTCGGCTTAATTTATAAAGTGCTCCAGCTTGATGATTATTTCTTGTATATTTTATTAGTGTAATATGCTTGCTCATATTTTCAATGTTAAGATCATTTGCTAAAAAATTCAGCATATGAAGAGCACACCCATAAGTTATGACAATATCTCTTTCAGATAACAATAGTTGTCTCATTGAGTTCACATAAGCTGCATCACAAAGCTTTTTACTGTGCATCCAAATTTACGTCTTACAAAATCTATTGCTTCTCTTGCTAATTGTGTAAGATGTTCACCAGGATGCAAATGACCAGAAGTATTGATTGTTTCTACTAAAATGTTAATTTTATCTGTAATTACAGAGATACAAACTATAGGTTCATTATGTATATTACTCCAGCCATCTAAAGACATGGCTACAATTTACCTATTCAATACATTACATTTTTCAATTTCTTCTGTGTAAACCCTATTTAATATTTCTCCCCCAATTTCTGTTCTATTAGGTAGAGTGTATCCTGGATGAAGCATATTGATAATATATATATCTATATTGAAGATTAGTTATATTTGTGAACATAATCTTGTCTTAGTTTCCTGTTGTAAGTTTAAATCTTTTTAAAAAAACATTAGTTTGGTTTAAACCAACATTTTTTTAATTGGTTTAAACCATGGTTTAAACCAATGGTTAAAACCATGCAACCCTGTATATATATATATATATATATATATATATATATATATATATATATATATATATATATATATATATATATATATATATATATATATATGTATGTGTATATATATATATATATGTATGTATATATATATATATATATATATATATATATATATATATATATATATATATATATATATATATATATATATATATATATATGTATGTATGTATATATATATATATATATATATATATATATATATATATATATATATATATATATATATATATATATATATATATATATATATATAAATGTATGTATGTATATATATATATATATATATATATATATATATATATATATATATATATAAATGTATGTATGTATATATATATATATATATATATATATATATATATATATATATATATATATATATATATATATATATATATATATATAAAATGTATGTATGTATGTATGATATATATATATATATATATATATATATATATATATATATATATATATATATATATATATATATATATATATATATATATATATATATATATATATATATATATATATAATCAAACAAGTCAGTTCACATTTATGATGCAAGCGCTCTACTACTACTAGTACAACTACCACACAAATAAGCAAGAGATATGTTGTTGATGGAATAAATCAACAACTACTTGTTTAACAAGGTTTGTTTTAGAATTTCTGCATAGTGGCTGTGTTTATCAAGGCTTGTGTTTTAGAATGAAGGCTTGAGGAAGAGAGTAGCAAGTAAAAAAAAGAAAAAAAAAAAGAAACTAAATAAATGGATTGAATACAATGGATATCATGAACAATGGATATAAATGATTTAAACAATATAAAGATTTTTTTAAGACAATATTGATAAAATGGTCTACTAAATAGAAGAATAAAAACAAGTCTTATAACAAGTATCCTTTAAAAAGAATTTTTATTTTATTGTTTAAAATAGTAAAATAAAAAAGTTTTTTGGTATTTCCCAAAAAAATACCTGTTTACCTAGTTTATGCAAATATATTTCAATCAAATACAATTAAAAATATATTGAAGAAATTTTGAAACCAAATACAATACGAATACAAATATGCCAAATCAGCCTATTTTTACTGAATACAAATACATATTTGACCCCATCCCCATCTGTAGTCTTGGGGTGGTGAATTATAAATTTAAAAAATTGTAATTTTTCTCAGTTTGAAATTATTTTTTTTATATTTAAATATCATTTTAATTCTTTTTCATCTTTAAATTTTTTTTAGAGGAGAATCTTCTTCTTCAGCAGTGGAGTCATTAGTTATGCACAACTTTGATAGTTCAAATTTGTTTGCATTTACTTTGTGTCGTGACCTAAAAATTCGTGTGTGGAGTATTGCTGTAGGTAGTTTTATTCTTTTTTTCTTTTTTTTTTTTTTTGATGATTATGGTGGTGATGATGAGAAGAAGCAAAATGAGATGGGCAACATTAATTATTTTTAGGACTTTTTTTTTAGTTAAAAACATGTGTTCACACAACAGATTTGGTTTCTTTAAACTTTGATAACTTTGATTTGCAACAAGGATCAGGTATGATTGTTTTTATTTTTAACAATCAAATAGGATTGATTTGAAAATTTCTTTTTTTTTAAATCCTTTTGAATAAATTTATAATACAGATTCCTTATAAAACCTCTATAACACCACAAGATCTCATCTTGGTGATTATAAGCATGTTTGTTGTCACCAAGGTGAAAATGCAAGTTCAATCTGCCTTGATGTTGATAGTAACTTGTTCTCGACTTTTTTTTGACTATCATAGTAATAATAAACTGTTGCTAGAAAATTACTTGCTCAAATATTAGCAGTAACTTATTAAGTAAAACTGCTTAGGTCTAACATTGTTTTTTTTTTATTATTATTATTAAATTTTAATTTTATTCAGATTTTACATGTCCTTCAAAATATACGTTTTTTTTTTTTTCTTTTTATTATTTTAATGGTGTGACATTTTTATGTTAACACTTTATTGTTTGTGCAGGGTAAATTACAGAAGTTTTTAACTGTTCAAATTTTTTTAATGAATTTTATGAGGGCATTTTATTCTTTCTCAATTTCTGATATCAACAGAGCCGGATTTACTCCCTTTAGGGCCCTGGCCGAATTGCTTTTTGGGGCCATATTTCAAAAAAGTGTAGAACTTTCTTATGTCAGTTTTTCATTTTACTAAATAAAAAACAGATTGCATAAGTATACTGACAGTATAATACTGTACACATATGTAAGTAGATTTTATAAATGCAAAACAAGCTAGAAAATAAGTAACATTTTAGCATAATAGTAAATTTTAAAAAGTTTTTACTTAAAAATTTGTAACTTTTTTTATGACAAAATTTGTCAATTAGAGAATCCGAATCAAGAAGTTTTTTTTTAATCTACATTGCTATATAAAATTGATTAATTATTAAAAGTTTCTTGGTTCATATTTGATTTCAAAAAACTATTGGTTAATTGAAGTTTAGAAAAACTTCTTTTCACCTGAACAATTTGTTATAATAAAGCATAAAAAGATTCTCAAAATTGTCTTAAGATTTGGAAATGCAATTTCTAAATTTTTTTCTTTTATCAGCTTATAAATGAATAAGTCATAGCTGTTTCTTTATATTTAGTTTGATAAAGTTATAAAATTGCAAAATTTCATCAAACAAAGACATATCGATATCTTCATGTTCAACGATTTCTTTAATATTTTTCTTCAGCTTTGCATTATCAATGTTCACATTAATCAGAAATCCAACAGTTGTGAAACACAATCATCCTTTTATTCAAATTTAAGTAAATTGCGAATTCTAAAATTGATTGTTCTGTTTCAAAAGAGCGATTTACAGGCTCTGTACTTCTGACTTTCTACCAACCATCAAGTTTCTAAATTTTTTAAAATTTTTGTTCTTTTTCTGCTTTTTTCTTTTTTCTTTTGTGTAATTGATTCATTTTCTAAATTTTTTTTTTTTTTTTTTTTTTTTTTTTTTAACATCTTCACTTCCAACAAGGTTGCAAGCAACCACTATAAGAGTTGGAAGTTACTGGAAGAGAAAAGACTAAATCTGTAGAGCAAGATAACGATTGACTGATGACTTAAAAGATTGCAAATTATATGAATCAGGAAAACAAGATGAAGGAAGCGAATTCCAAAGAACTGATGTTCGAGGAAAAAAACTAGAAGAATAAGAGTTTTTGAAGCACTTAGGAACAGTCACAGAAAAAGGATGAGACTTAATTGAACGGCGAGTAACACAAGAACGAATTTTAGTAGATGGCACAAGGGACGCTAGCTCTTTAGAGCAGTGCCCATTATAGTATTTGTAGAAAAGAGAAAGAGAAGCAACATTACGACGATGTGACAAAGGTTGGAGATTGGCTGCCAGAGCAGGTCCAACTATGTTTACAATTCGTTTTTGCACCTTGTCTAAAAGAGAAAGAGCATCATTAGAAGATCCGCCCCAGATGTGGCAACAGTATTCCATACAGGGACGGATTTGAGATTTATAGAGATAGAGAATAGAATCTGGAGTAAGAAAGTGTCGAGCTCGATAAAGAGATGCAACCTTAGCAGATGCTAATTTTGCAATGGATTTGATATACGGTTTAAAAGAAAGATCAGAAGTAAGAGTTAATCCTAGAAGATGAATGGTAGATGACTCATCTAGTACATTACCATTCATAAATATAGGAAGATCTAAATTATTTTGATAACGATTGGCCGAATAAAATTGAGTTTTATCTGAATTAAAGTTCACCAGCCACTGTGAGCCCTATGCTGTAGCAGAAGTGAGATCCTTTTCAAGCTCAGATACCCCCTCCAAGCAATCAGAGAGTGTAGGCTTCTTATCATTACAAAAGTAAATGGTAGTGTCGTCAGCGAATAATGCCACCTTAGATGTAAGAATATCTGGAAGATCGTTAATGTAAATTAAAAAGAGTATAGGGCCAAGGATTGAACCTTGAGGAACCCCTGAAGTTACAGGATGTGAAGAAGAGTGTTGTCCATCGAGGACAACTTTTATACTACGATTGGAAAGAAAGGACTCAATAATCTTAAAGACGTTACCAGCTACACCATAAGAAGAAAGCTTATGGAGAAGACCAGCATGCCAAACTTTATCAAAAGCTTTAGAAATGTCAAGTGCGATAGCCTTAACCTCTCCATTTCTATCTAATGCACGGTAAAACCTATCGGTTATTACTGTTAGCACATCAGCTGTAGAACGAGAAGACCGAAATCCAAATTGATGATCAGAAAGTAAGTTATTTGATTCAAGATGAGAGATTAAGTGTTTGTTGATTAAAGATTCAAAAACCTTGCTTATGACAGGAAGAAGACTAATGGGACGGTAGTTAGATGAATCAGATCGCTCTCCGGAATTTTGAAAATAGGGATAACAGATGCTGCTTTCCAGCATGATGGAAAACAAGACTCTGATAAGCACTTGTTAAATAGTTTAGAAAGTATGGATGAAAGCTCCGGAGAACACCTCTGCAAGACTACAACAGGAATGTTGTCAGGACCACAAGCTGTTGAAGAGTCTAAGCAGGAAATTACTTTAGATACAGAAGCTGAAGTGATGCGAATGTCAAGCAAGGGATCAACCTGTTTGACGGCTATGTCAGGTAAAACGCAACTAGTGGAATCAAGAGATGATATTGATGAAAAGTTCTTAGCAAACAATTCAGCTTTGTCTTTAGGTGAGGTGACAAAGTCTGAACCATACAAGAGAGAAGGAATAACAGATTTGCCCTTATTATTGATACTGTTAAAGATTCTCCAGAAGTCTCGAGAGCCTAATTTTTGTGATGAGATACGAGATTTAATGACCTGGGAATAGCAAGCTTTGGCGTCAGACAAAACCTTTTTACAATGGTTTCTGGCGATAGTGAACAGATGTCTGTTTTCTGGAGAATTGTTTTGCTGATAGATATGGAAGTAACGGTTTCGATTAGAAATTGCTGCAGCGCAATGTGAGGAAAACCAAGGAGAAGAGTGAGGCTTGACCTGGAATCGTCGAGAGGGAATAAAAAATTCCATGCCAGCCTGAATCCATGAAGTTATGTAAGAAGCACATTTGTCAGCAGGAAGACGAAAGATTTCTACCCAAGGGCCATCACGAAGAAAATCACGGAAAGAGTCCCAGTCAGCTTTAAGGTAGTTGTATGTGGTACGATGATAGGGGGATTCTGATGAAGTAGAAGAATTTGATAATAGTTTTAGAGAGATCAAACCGTGATCAGAAGTACCTAAGGGTGAATGTGGAGAAATTGAGCACTGACTAGGATCCAAAACAAGACATAAGTCGAGTAGAGAAGGTAAATGATTAGGGTTGTCTGGAAAACGAGTTGGAAAGTTGACTATTTGAGTTAGAGATTGAGAGAGGCAAAAGTTGAGGGCCTTAAAGCCAGCAGAGTCACTGACACTAGAGCCAAGCCAATCGGTGTGATGGGCATTAAAGTCACCAACAACGACGATATTGGCCGATGGATAAAGAGAGAGGGCTTGGTCAATTTGATCAGAAATAACATCAAGAATAGTGCAATCTTGGGATGAAGGAGAGCGATATAGAACAAAGAGAAAAGCGATAGAGTGAAGTTGTGCTAAACGAAAGCACATAAATGGATAGTCTGTAGATTCAAACCTAGTTTCACGACAAATGGGTGAGTTCTTACGAATGTAGATGCCCAGGCCAAGCATGTGATTATTGGAGTCTTTACGAATTAAAGGAAGATAACCATCAACACTAAGATCACAAGATGGGACAGCCGAACTCAAATTAGTCTCACAAAGAGCAAGTAGGTCTGGTGAACTTTGCAAGAGATAAGACTCAACAGAAGAAAAGTTACTTCGAAGACCACGAATATTAGTAAATGATAGGTTTAGAGAACTTGGTGATGACGATGGTTTTTTGTGTTTTTTAGTTTTTTTTAGTACTTTAGTCATTTTAAATTTATAAAGAACTTGACTCAAGGATAGATAGTACTCAGTACACTATTTAACAACTAAGCAATAGCCTCATTACTATTAATAAACCCTAAGCCGTAACAAAGGGCTCCAAATGTGGCCTCTGCAATGCACACCAAAAGTACAAACAGGGACACCATCCATGCGCAACATGGCACTGTTAGTACTCTGATATTTTTCGGCTGTTGATGGAATCAGCCTCTCTGAGAGCTACCACAGAGTTCGGGAAACCTGACTACCAGCCGGCCTCAGAACCATAAAACTGAGTTTTAGAGCTGTACCCTCATTAGGAGATAATAGAATGAGTTGCCCAGTCATAAAAATAGAGACACAAGCAATACCCACGCATTGAGTCAAGAAGATCCAGCGTTCAACATCCTAAACTGGAAACAATGTATTAAAAATACATCTGCGCCAGCCTAATAGATGAGGAAGGGGTGCGAGGCTGGTCAACAGATAGAATCTGTTTACCCCTTAAGTCTTTGCCTAGGAGGCCTTCTACAAGACAGCAGCTGGATGCATGTAACATCTGCCCAAGATGAGTATTTTTATCGAGACACCATCTCTAGCCTTTACTCAACCAAGAGCCCCAAGGCAGGGGGTGTTTTAATTCGGAGTTAACTTCTCCTAGCCTTTGCCTAAAAAAGCGTATCCTACAAGGCAGCAGGACATGGAGCAGGTTGTACTGGGTTACATGTTACCAGTAGCAGGAAAACCTGACCTGACCTGTAAAAATAAAATAAAATAAATCAAGTAACAGGCTTGGTCGGAAAGTGCAATTAATCCCACTCTGTTCCTAACCACACATATAATATTTAGTTGCCACAATTTGGCCACAGCTTGTTTAGATGTTTTAGAACATTCAAGTTTATGTATGTTTTCATCAATGTCTCATAACTTTATTCTTTACTTAGCAAATTTTAATGTTTTTTATTTGAATATTGGGGCCCAAAAAAATTGCAGGGCTCTAGGCCGCGGCCTAGTCAGCCTATAAGTAAATCCAGGACTGGATATCAAGTCAACCCAGTTAAGCATATCATATTTGCAGATTTTTGCTTGAAGATAGTATCAAGCCAGTAAGGCTTGATACTATCTTCAAGCAAAATTTAAATATATTCCATCAACAACATCTCTCTTGCTTATTTGTGTGGTAGTTTAAATACTAGATTAAATTCCTCCTGTTTAGAGATTTTTTTGACATTTATCGAATGGGGAACCAAAGATTTACAAACTGAAAAAATATCTTTGCTTTATAAAAACAGAAAGTGAATGCCAAATATGCTGTCTTTGGAAAAATTATATACTTATTAACCAACCACAAATTTGTACTGATCAGCACAACAGAAAAATTTTTGGTTGTCGGAAACATTTCTTGTACAAATTTGACTGTTTTTAATTATCAAATAAATAAATAAAACATTATGTGTTAAGTCATCAGATATAAAACATAAAATCAGTGGTTAACTTTTAGTAACATGATCAGGGATTCATATTTTTTATAAATAATTACAGGATAAAGTGTCCATAGCTGTTGGTTCCAGTGATAACTCTAGATTTCATCTTTTAGAAAAAATTTAACCAAAACAAATATTTCATTTGAAAATATGAAATATATATACTTTTTTTTAAAAAACTAGTTAAAAGTGTAAAAGATGTATTCTTTGTAAAAAGAAGTTACACAAGTTAAAAACAAAAAATCTTATCATTAATATGCCTTTCAAATCACTTAATGCAATTTTTGGGTAGTTTTTGATTGGCTTTAAAAAAAAAATTCAAAAACCCAACTTCAAGTTTTGAATCAAAACACTCTTAAAAATGTTTATCTTTTATGAAAATATGAATATGTTTGTAAATATAAAAAAGTAATAAGCTATGGTTATACTTCACTTTGAGTGGAAAAAAAACAGTAGGTAAACTTGTGGAGATTGCTTTGACATTTGAAAGTCTCAGTAAAATTTAGAGGAAGCCTAAAGTAGTATATATTGAAGAATTTGCATTATAAAAAACATTTGACTTGTGGAAGTGCGCAACAAAAAAACATAAAGAGAAAAAAATTGAAAAAAATTTGTTTCTGTTGCTTATTGGGGATATTAAATCTATTGTAGACCTAAACTGAAATCAAAATAAAAGTTTCACCATGCTGTTTCAGGTTCCACTGTATTATTTGCAAGTTTTACCTGCAAAATTTGAAAGAACCAAGTTGTTGTGTATTTAATGCTTATGCAAGTTTTCAGTTTTACTACTTTTTTCATAAGTACAACTTATTATTGCAATTTAATATCCAGGTTCATATGGTATTTTGCAAGTTTAGTTTCACATAGTAATTTCAGTTCAGACTTAAACATTTATTACGCATTAGATCAGTATTTATTCATGTTTTCATATTCATTTGGTATGTGATATAAGATGAAATACTTTTGTAATACACTTTAATGTGTATGATTTATGAACAATATTTAATATTATGTGTAATACTTTCTGCTATATACTGAGATATAAAAACCTTTTTATATCTCAGTATATTTTACATAATTAACTTAATAATTATCTTGCAAATTTGAGAATTTTACATACTTAACTGTGATATTAACTTTTTTTTAAGTAAACAAATATGCTTTAAAGTTATAATTATTTTATTTTATAGTTGATTCACTTTGTTTAAAAAAAGCAAAAAATACTGATGGTGGACAATTGTTGTTAATAGCTCACTGTACTTTAATGTACAGCTCACAGGTAATTTTAAAATTTTTAAAGTAACAGGTAAATTTAGTTTTGGTATAGATAGGTAGGGCTTCTGTTGACACATCTGTTGAGTTATTCTTACAGCTTTAGGACACCTATGTATACCTAAATCCACATGTCAGTTATAAGAATAATTTCTAATCTACTATAGGATATTTATATGCGCAATTGCTCACTTTTTTTGCTAGCCTAAATTAAGTGAGTGTTTTTAGAAAACCATGAGGGAAAACAAAGAATAATGAATGAAAATATTGCTGACCCATACCAAACCCGATGTAGCAGCACTCCACTGTGAGTCAGGCAATTGGTCAGTCGATGTATGTACTGAAGCCCTCGGCAGCAGGCTATTTGACGTTAGGTGAGTATGACATCATCATGATCACCTAACTCAGCAGTATAAGACAAAACAAATTATTGAATGAGATATTAACAAAAGCATTAGTTGTTTTTCTATTATACAGAGATTAGGTGAGATTGAAATTAGTTCAAAGCCTAATTTTAGGCTCTAAAATCTGCTAATCTTAGGCTTCTAGCTAATTCAAATCTTCTAGTCTCTCAAATCTGCATAGTTTTTTCCGTTAAAAAAACATCTGGTTTCAATAAAAAATGTTTTTGCTCACAGCAGAGTTTTTTAAACTCAGTTCAGTTTTACACAATTAGATTTGGTTTTCCTCTCCATGTGTAGTCTGTGATGGTTATAAAAAATGTTCTCTGTAGCATGTTTTTTTTCCAATGTATTTATTAACTCGTTGTCTCTGTCTGTTTGTCTGTGAGCATCAAATCTTGTAATCAATTTTAAAGTCACTTCCTGATGATAAATTTTCTTCAAATTTTGTATACATACTCTTGCTTGATGACAATACAGTATTCAATAATTAGTTTTGCAATAAGTCAGTTAATTTAGTTAATTTTAATTAAATTTATTTTTTTGTATGGAAAGAAGAAGAATTTTTAAAATAAGTATATTAATTTTTTTTTTACTTATACGTGCATTTAGCTTATTTGGATAAGGCGTTGACTTAAACGGAGTGTCTAAGGTTCAAGACCTTCTTCTTCCTGAATTTTTTTGTTTTTTTATGCACGCATACAGCCAAATGTTAATAAAATAAAATAGAAAGTTAATAAAATGTTGATAAAATAATGTTAATAAAATAAAACAGAATGTTTTAAAATAAAATAGAAAAATCAAAAATTGATTACAAAATTTATGTTATAATAACATATAAAAGCATTGGGTTTTCAAAAAATTGTTTTTAATTTTACTTGTTGTTTTTTGTTCAACATATCATTAAGCGTTTGAGTTAAATAAACTTGCATATTAAAAATAGTAATTAAGCGAACTTTAAAATGTACAAGATGAATGTTTTTCTTAGAAAATAAGGAATCAATTTTTTTTATATCTTTATTTTTTTAAGAAATCGAGAAAATCGTTTTAAAAATGATCTTATATATATACAGGGCCTTTGAGAGGGAGGGGCAAAGGGGGAAAATTGACCCGGGCGTCAAGCTTGAAGGGGCGTCTGACAATACGTTTTTTTAAAAAACATTTTAATGACTGACAATCTGAAGTCTGCTTAGTTTTTGCATTTGAGATTGAAACTTTAGTATTTGGAATAAAATTGCACATGAAAAAAACAACTTAAGTTTTAAATTCTATTCTTATAATTATAAATAAATTAATTTTTACGAAAAAAATAGCATTTAGCTGTTGTAGAATTAGACAGAAGCGGGCAAGTTCCGTAAGCCCATGAACATTTAGCAATGCTAGTTCATGTTCGATTGTAGAGAAGATTATGTGCTGTTTTAATAATAATGGTAACTCATCAAATTTTGCTTCAAAGGAGTTGACACAGATAGCACTGAAAACTTTAATAGGTAGTGCATTCCATGGGTTCGCTTCAACTTCTTTAACTATACGATTGTTGAAGAAGTTGAAGCGAACGAGACAGTTGTGGTTAATTTCACAATAAAAGCGCTGTTTTTTTTAAGTAGTATTTGACTGTTGAGGCAAAAGAGAGAATTATAGCATTGCATTTTTCAGACAAATAAACGGCCTTGACTCTACCAGGACCCGGCCAGTTATCAAATAATTGAGTTTTTGCATCTTGGCTGCACTCAATACGGATAATTTACTGCACTCAATATGTTATTCGAAGGACTGTGGATCAGTGAGGGCTTAAACAATTTCCTTCAAGTTGAGCTTAATGAATTTCAAAGTGAATCATTAGAGTCAGAAAAAGGAACTTTATCTAACAGTGGAGAATGCAAGGTTCAACTTAACTTGGTAATAATTAATGCTAACCCTTCTTTGTGGGCAGTTGTTTTGAGTCGAAAAGATCAAGATGCAATTATTTTAAAGAGATCTCCAGCACAAAAGCAGTATTCAAAAGCTGCTAATTGTCCCTTCTTCATTGAAACTGAGGAGCTAGAGATCAACGGAGGAAACTCATAAGTTGTGTGAAGCAGCATCAATGCAGCCCATTGCACTAAAGGTTCTACAATGATTGGAAAGAGGCTTACATTCGTCTTACCAGCTCCACTGGTAAATATTTAAAGCTCCATAAGTGAATAAATTCTGAGACAGCTAAATGGCTGACAATTCTTCGTAAAATTTTGAATTTGGCTGTTTTCCTGGCTTCTAAGGGATTTAACTTTAGGGAATTTACTTTAGGTATTTTCATTGGCTTGACGAAAGCTTTAGATATTTACTATTGATCACATAATTCTTTTAATAAAAGTTGGATTGGTACAGAATTACTGGAAATATATTAATTTGGCTAAAAAGTTTATAATTAAATAATTGAAAACAATTTGTTTATGCAGATGACAACATATCATCTAGTTTGTTAAATATTTCATGTGGAGTTCCTCAAAGATCCATATTAGGACCTCTCCTATTTCTAATATATATTAATGATCTACGAAAAGCTTCTAACCTAATGACAGTTATGTTTGCTGATGGTTTTAACTTATTTCTTTCTTGTTATAACATTTTTACACTTTTAGCAACTTAAATATTGAACTAGTCAAAATTTGCAATTATTTGTTGGTTGTTGATAAAAAAATTATTATATGTTTAAATTTAGTGAATTATTTAACGTTTTAATTTTTAAGTTTAAGAACTCTTCTATTGTAATTTTGTATGTTTATTATTATTTTAGTTTATAATATTATATTACGAACTTTAAGTTGTCAGAAGGGGAAAACGGTAATTTATATATTTTTGAAAATTATGGACATTATTGTTTGCATGAGTCAGCTGTTCGGAAGACACAGTAATTTGATTGATGCAAGCCGTAAACACCATAGGAAAAGGAAAAAATCATTTAAAAAAATCTTCTAATTTCTTCAATAGAGGTTTCTCTGTGACAAGAAGCTTTTTTAGGTAGCTCATTATAAAGTTTTCTCAATATCAATTTTAATTTTTTTTTATAATTATTACAATAATTTGTAACACCCACTTAGAAAATGTATACAATAATTATAATTTATTTATTGTAATAACTATATAAATAATTAAAATTGATATTGAGAAAACTTTATAATGACAACATCAACAAGAAGGCTCCATAATGAGAGCCCATTTTTTCTTTCTGTTGGAACGGAAAGAAATAATGGGCACTTTGAATAACACCATATTCTTTGGTAAACTTAATTTGAGACGACGCGTCGTCCCCTGCAATTTAAACTTGATTTAAGTTTTTTGAAAGAAATTTTTTTTTTGATGTCAAATATAAGCCCATTAATCAGAGCTAATTTAAAAAATAAAAATAGTCAAAGTGCCAGAACTTTCCTTTGCCAGAAACAAAATGGTGTTAAAAATTAAGAAGTATTTTGTGAATATCTCTGTTAATAATTTGTTTTGGAAATTTTGATTAACTTTTAACTTATTTTCTATTGTTTATCTATGATATGAACACTACTTAACTTGGTACTTGGGGATCCCTTTAATAATAATAATAATAACACTTTTAATTCTTATGGTAATAACACACCAAATTGTCCACAACAGATTAAAGATATATATATATATATTTTTTATTTATTTTGAATTTTTATGCTGTATTTTTCTATATATGTTCTTATATCCAAAGATATTGTTGGCATAGGAACAGACACAAATAGTCATTAAGACTAATCCAAAGTAGCGGTACACAAAAATGTTGTTGACCAACATTTTTGTGTACCGAAGTACTACTCAAGCTCTGAGTTGGCGGTGGCAGGATTTGAACTCGTATTGCTCAATAGTCAAAATTTTAACTTTTCGTTATGCTTTTGGACTTTTTTACATTTTCGGACACTCTAACCAACTGAGCTATCCAGCCACAAATATAGTAATATAGTAATATATATTTCTGCATAAATAATATTTCGCAGAGTATTTTTAAATTTATATAAACTAACTGTGCAACCCACCAACAGTAGATGATGGGCTATAGCAGCCCAAGCTTAACTTGTCAAATAAAACCTTAAATTGATAGACTAATTTTGATGTTTTAATGTCATTCAGTAGATTGTTCCACTCTTTAACAATTCTGTTTTTAAAAAAATTTTGATGTCGAATGTCCGAGTGTTTGACAATCTCCCACAAAATTTACTTTAATATTTCCTGTTGAAGGTGAGTTCCACTCTACTATTTCTAAATTATTTTCTAGCTTAAACATTTGGATCTCTGCGATTTCTTCTTATTTCTAATGTTGTTAAATTAAGTCTATTTATTCAATCTTTATACAAAAGATTTTTCATACAATATATATACTCAATTACAAGCGCTAATGGATGTATTTTCAAAGTTAAAAAAACCAAAACAAGAGATTTAGGAGTTATTATATCCAAAGACCTAAGACCTAAAGTACAGCGAAGTACAGCTGTACTTGTTTAATTTTAAAGATATCTCCTTCTAGGTGCGGTCTCTATGCAGGCATAGCAAATTCTAGATACGGGTGGATATAAATGGTATACAGCCTTTTCCATATGTGCTCATTTCTTGATTGAAATATATGCTTCAAAAGTCTAAGTGTACTGTTTGCTTTTTGCTACTATGTAATTTACATGTGCATGAGTTTTTAGGTCTTTGGATATAATAACTCCTAAATCTCTTGTTTTGGTTTTTTTAACTTTGAAAACACATCCATTAGTATTTGTGATTAAGTATTCATGATGTGGGTTATTTTTACCTATATGCATAACCATGAACTTATCAATATTTAGTTCCATAAGCCACATGTTGCACCAAGTTAAAATTTTGTTAATACTATCCTGAAGTTCTAGCGAACCCTTTAAAGTTGAAAAACAAATTTTAAAATTGTCTATGTCTCTAGCGCAAATTATAAAGTATTTACTTAAAATACTGACTAAAAAAAGTAGCAAAAAAATTGTATATTTAAAAAAAAAAATTTTTCGTTATATTCTTATATTATTTCGTTATATCCAGGTAAGGCTTAAAATAACAACTGTACTGTCTAGTATAACTCAACTGTAGTATCTCCATAAGTTTATCATGTTAAATTAAATTGTAGCATTTAAATGCTTCAAATGTTAAAGAATTTTTTTTATTAAGAATTAACAAAATAGTTTGATAAGTTTTTTGTTTTGTTTTAGTTCATCATTTTGGAAGCATTTTTGGAGCAAAAAGAAATTGTTGTTGTACATGTTTCACATTTTTTATCAAGTTTTGTAAGTTAAATATACGACTATGACTGAAGTTCCTTTATAGGATCCCTTTGTAAATCCTAATGTAAATGTAATGTAAATCATTATAAATTTATAAATATATTAAAAATCTTTTAAATTTGACAAAACAAAGCAAGGATTTTTTTTTTTGATTTTATTGTTTACACTTAAAATATAATTTATTTACTATTACTTTATTATATTTTAAAAATTGAAAAAAACTTTAAACAAAAATTTAACAAAAAAAATTGAAAAAAACTTCAAACAAAAAGTAAACAATTAAAATAAACTTTAAACCCTAAAAGCAGCATTTACTTTAGCGTAACATATAACATAATTAAAAAAAAAATTAACCAAGTTAATTATGTTAATCATAAATAGATAATGTTTAATTGTAATTACTAAATATTTAGAAAAGATTTTTTCATTTCTAAACTTTGTTTAGAACAATATTCAAGATATTTCCATAACCCAAGATTATATCTGGGCACTATGGAACACTTCAGATGGTGACTCTGAACTTTCTTTTGCGCCAATAGAGGGGTGAGGATTTTATTTAAAAGTATGTCTCTAGAATTTAATATAAACTATTTTGTTTTACATATGTTGGTTTCTTTAAATATTTTAAATTTTAGTGGCAAAGATTTTGAACGTGGTTGGCACTCTGTTCACTTAGTTAATATTAATGAAGATGAGATATTTGTTCCAGTTTTTCAAGATGTCAAAGTATACTTTTTTTTTTTTTCTTTCCTTTTTTTCTTTGTTTGAAAAGAAATAAATCATTTTTAAAATGATTTTTTTTTAACAATCTACAAGTAACACATTCCTTTGATTTTTTTTTAAGTAACACATTCCTTTAACTTTAATTTAATTTAGTTGAAGCTAAAAGATAATTTACATAAATTTTTATTTAGGAGGTCTTTATGAGGAAATTATTTTCACCACAAATGTATCAAAAGGATTGTCTACTTAAAGCTCTTCAAGTAAACTTTTTAATTTTAAACTTTTATTTTTTATTAGTTTAGATATTGAAAAATGTCAATAACTTTTTTAATCATTTTGAATAATTGTTTTGAAATGATTTCTTTTTAGTTGTTAATGACCTTGTTTTGTTGTTAAAAGTTTTATTATAATGTAGTAAGTGCCCCATAATGTTTTTTTGGAGCATAATGTTTTGGCATTATTATTGTGGAATTTATTTTCTTTTTAAAGTTTCAGAACAAGGGCCAATTTAATATAATGATAATACCATATGAGACTTATAATGATAGTACCATATGATTCTTATAAACATGAGAATCTTAGTGTCAGGAAATACTTATGTCGTTAGAAAAGTTTGTAGAACTTTATCAATACAGTTGCCATAAGACAGAAAATATTTTTATTTTGCCTTAAACTGAATATAATTAGGAACATTTTAAGTGGCTGTTGAAATTTTTTGGTTGTGTATTAAAAAACCTGTTTTGTACTGTATTTTATAAATACTGTATATTATTAAACACATTTAAAAGAAAAATTTTAAAATGGAAAAATTAAATATCGAACATTATAATCTCTACTTGAAGTAGCAACACAAGAGCTATACTTTAAAATTTGTATTCATGTTTACCACACACCAAATATATTGCTTATGTCAAGCAGGCTGCTATATTTCAAGATGGTAGAAAAAGTCTTGAAGATGACCCCGCTCGTGGCATCCTAAAACCATGTATACAGCTGAAAATATTGAATGTGTGCGTGCCATTATTGAAGAAAATCCTCATGCAACAAATGATATAATTGAAGCCCTGACTTCTATTAATCGTTTTACAATCAATAAAATTCTTTACAATACTGCTAAAAAAAGGAAACTAGCATCACCACCATTCGATACCTCACAAGTATTAAGGGTGTTCAAAATGATAAAATTTTCAAATACACAAGAAGCCAAATTTGAAGCAAACATAAAAAATACGATTCCAAAAAAAAATTCCAAAAATACTGACATTTACCTTGTGCTCAAGCAGCAAAATACCCCATAAAATTTTTTTTAAATTGTTGTGTATTCTGGTTTTTGCATAATTGTTGTCAAAATTAAAAAAAGATTTTGCATAGCTTATGCAAAAAACCAACATTTTTCTGCATATTTTTCCAAAATTCTTTTTTTGCGTATTTTTGTAAAAATATTTTTTGCGTTTTTTATGCTGACCTCACATATTTTAAGATCAGCAAATTATTGCCAACCTCATTTTTTCTAATTCTGAGGGCTCATCTATATATATATATATATATATATATATATATATATATATATATATATATATATATATATATATATATATATATATATATATATATATATATATATATAATTATGTGTGTGTGTGTGTGTGTATATATATGTGTATATATATATATATAGATGAGTTTTTTGAGTTTTTTCCGGGAATTCCCGGAATTCCGGAAATTCACATCAAGTTTCCGGGAAATTCCGGATGCTTTTTGCTATTGATTTGTAAAAAGTTATATAAAATTTTAAATACGACATGGTTTGCATTTAAGCAATTATGTTTTCTATAAATGAAATTTTCACAAGATCAATTTTTTCAAAAAAATTTTTTCTTTTTAATTCATTCAAATTAACTTTTTCGAATATTAGAAATTCTTTTTCTTTGTTTATGTGTGTGTATATGTATATATATATATATTTATGTGTGTGTGTGTGTATATATATATATATATATATATATATATATATATATATATATATATATATATATATATATATATATATATATATATATATATATATGTTTATGTGTGTGTATATGTATATATATATATATTTATGTGTGTATATATATATATATATATATATATATATATATATATATATATATATATATATATATATATATATATGTATATATATATATATATATATATATATATATATATATATATATATATATATAATTATTATTATTATTTATTGTACCGCAACAAGCTATAGCTTGTGTAACCAATTCTGGTTGTGGCGGCCTACATAAAAATTTACGCCGGTATTGCGAATTCCAAATGAGGTCTCACAAACACTGTAAACAATGTTTTGAGAAGTTTGCTATCTATATAGAAGAAAGTCCTGCTTAACATTCCAAGTATTTTATTTGCTTTATTTATGCATACATAACTTGACTATGATTTTTCGTCTTACTAGATAAAATAACACCTAAATCCTTTTCATCGTTTGTACTGCATATACTAGTTATTTCATTTGCTATTGATAATATTGTATAATTATGATGTTTGTTTGATTTGCCGAGATGCATTACTTTGCATTTTGACTCATTCAAGTTAAGAAGCCTGTTTGGGACCATTTTGCGATTTTATTTATGACATTTTGTAATACATTTATATCGTTGATATTATTTTTGCTAATAGTTTAGTATCGTCAGCATACAATTTATTTACACTTTTTAATAGTTCTGGCATATCATTAATATATATTATAAATAAAATAGGACCTAGAATGGATCCTTGCAGTACACCATTCCGAACCTCTTTCCATTCTGATGAAAATTCTGCCATTACCACTTTTTGTCAACGATTTTTAAAAAAAGATTTAAGCCACTTTAAAGTGTGACCGATAATTCCATAATTCGACAACTTGTAAATTAAATATCTATGCGGAACAACATCGAAGGCTTTGGCAAAATCCATAAATACTACATCAACCGCATTTTTCTTTAGATAATGAATAGGTAATAAAGTCCATTGTTTCAATTAAATTAGTTGTGCATGATTTGTTGTACACAAAACCATGTTGATTAGTTGAAATTAGGTGATTTTGTACTAAGTGTTGGATCATACTGTCTTTGACAATTTTTTCCAAAACTTTACTAACAACTGACGTCAAAGAAATTGGGCGATAATTGCTTGTAATTAGTTTGCTGCCTTTTTTATATAAAGGTGTTATGTGTGCAGATTTCCGATCATCTAGACAAATACCTGATTGCATCGAAAGTGTGAATATATAACTTAAAGGTGTTGCTAGAACAAAAGCACAATTTTTTAATACAAATGGACTTACTCCGTCTGGGCCAACAGATTTATTTGCATCCAACTTCACTAATATATTGTAAACCAAATTAAAATCAAATAACAGTGTGCCACATATATTGTTTGTACGCTTTTCGAATTTTGGTACTTCGGTAACATCTTTTTTTGTGAATACATCTTGAAAATGGTCATTTAAAGTATTTGCTATGTCTTTTGGATCTGTGATCGTACAATTGCTTTTATCTTTTAAGGAATTTATACTCGACTTGATTTTTTTCTTCTGCTCCACATATGAATACAAAAGTTTTGGGTTATGTTTAGCATTATTGGCTAACTTTAATTCATACTCTTTTACTGTTTTTTTGAGTAACCTTTTGTATATTATTTTACTCTGTTTGTATTCTTCTACCAGTTTTGCATTGGAAAAGCCACAGGCCAAACATTTGAACCAAAGTTTGTTTTTTGACTTCATTTTTATTTTCAGTGGCAGAGATATCCAGTTGCATGACTTATAATTCTTTTTACATATTTGATTTTGACGTATTTATTACACGCAATATTGTAATATTTTAGGAAGGCATCATATCATTCGTTTACGTTTCAATTTTCAAAATTAGATTTTCCAATCACAGTTAGTGAAAAAATCGGACATTAATTCATAATTCGTACTATGAAACATTTTTTTGTAAATTAACTTTGGTTGTGGCATTGATTTTGTTTTGAAATGAAATGTCAAGACATGATGTCCTTTTTTTAAGTTTGCTAGAGGCGGTTAATGAATGATTTCTTTAATTCTTTCATTGCATTTGGCTATTATAGGGTCCAGTGTACTAGTTGACGTAATTTCATCAGCTTGAAAAGTAGGATCTGTTACAAATTGAGTTAAATATGCATCAGATAAACAGTCGATGAATTGATTTGCTAACAAATTAATATTTGTGTCTTTAACTGACTTTACACCATTGTAATTCCATTTTATAGAGGGTGTTTTTTTCCGTATATATATATATATATATATATATATATATATATATATATATATATATATATATATATATATATATATATATATATATATATATATATATATATATATATATATATGATTTAAATGTTGACATCTTGAAGGAGAGTAAATATATATATATAAACTAATTTAAAACATCAGATAATACGAATTCTCTCAATATTAAATAATTTATTTGAAATTTTCGCCGGATTATAGGCACCAGCATCATCAGCATATAATATAATATAATTACAAAAATTGTGACCATTAAATAACAACAAAAATTTTTCTAAATTTTGACGTCACCTTTATAATGGCTTCTTTTACCTAAGTATGAAAAAAATGAAGTCCAAAAATTTGTTTTTAAATATTGTCCATTGTCCAAATTCATACCACCATACGTTGGAGAACATTGATGTTTTTGTATCTCTAAGGCCTCACAGACTTTTCTTTCAAATTTTTTATCCTCAACTTTAAGTGTTATTACTTTATTCCATTCAATGTCCTCATTGCAATTTACTTTATGCAAAGCTAATGCAGACTGGTTTAACTTGCCTTCAGTCAAAAATTTTTAGTGTTGTTGAACCCTTGTTCGTATTTGAAGTTTTGTTTCACCAACATATACTTTGGAGCATTTGCACTTAATTAAATAGGTTCCTAGGGTGCTGTTACATGGTAGTTTAGACTTATTTTTAGACGTTAATAGCGTTTTTAGGTTAGCATTGGATTTAAAAACAGTTCTGTAACCAGCTTTTCCAAGAGATTGTAGGAAGGTTATTAGAGTTTGATGGAATTTCATTTTTGTTCGCAAAACGTTTTTTTTGAACCTGATTAGAAATATCTTTAAGCATTTTTTTATCGTATCCATTTTCAGTAAACACTTGAATTAAAAAATTTATCTCATCTTTTAAATGGTTTTCGCTGCATATTGAGTATGCTCTGTGTATGTATCCTTTGAATATTGCTTTTAAAATTTTAGGATCATGATTAGAATGAGGTTTGATTTGGATATTGGTTATTGCATCCTTCCTGTAAACCTTGAACTCATATTTTCCTTGTGTGTTATTAATAACAGTTATATCCAAAAAGTTAAGTATCTTATTTTTGTTTTCAACCTCAATAGTATATTTTAAAGAAGGATGATGTCTGTTAAAAGTTGTTTGGAGCTGTTCCCCTTGATTTAAGTTAGAAAACCTTGCATGGCTATCATCTACATATCTATGAAAGGACTATTAAAGGAATCATTGTCATTGCCATTTTTATTGCTTTTTCCTCATGGTATTGTAAAAAAAATTCAGCCAAAACAACCATAAAAGACAATCCAATTAGGCCTGAATTCTCCAACTCATGAATCTCACCATTCCACAAGAAATAACAACGAAACAAACAAAGTTAAATTAGTTGTTTTGTTTCAGTTAAAGTAAGTTTAGTTGAGTTTTTGTAAGAAACACTTTTATTTAATTGATCCAAAAGTATTAAAGTTTTAATACTTTTGGATCAATTAAATAAAAGCGTTTTTTATTTAATTGATCCAAAAGTATTAAAGAGAGCGATTGCTCTCGAATACTGACCGCGGAAATTATATTTACTTGCGAAAAACTGGCCAGGTTTTTTAGTCGTTTTGAGAACATTTAAATTAATGTACGAAACAATAAATTTTGGTTTTACGGACATACATAAAAAAACATCTGGAAGAATAAAAAGAATATTTGCGAACTCTAAAAACCGGCCAAATAACGAACAAACTAATTCAAAAAATACTCTGACTAAGCAAAATAAAGTTCTAGAGTATTCTGTTGAAATGTTTTATAAGTTGTATTATTCACGATTCGTTATATTATGAGATTTCTAGAATAGATTGTTTTAAGAATATATTATCAATTCTATGGCTCATTCTCGGAGCCACATCTACAATCATCTGCATAGCTGCAAATCTTATAAACTATTATTATTTGTTTACATAAATATTAAATAATAAAATAATAAATAAATGTTTTAAATATATATTATTTATATTGTCAAAATTATGAAAGTTTATTATAAATTGTAGATTTTATTAGTATATACTTATTTAAAGAGTATGTATTTTTTATTTAAATGTAATTTTGTGCATCTGTTTTTTATCGATTTAATTTGTAAGCAAAGACTTACAAAAATAATTGCGTTTTTAATGAAGTTATTAATAATCATTAAACTTAATAAAACTAATTATGTGGCAAACATATAAGAAGTTTCTGGTTACTAAACACAAACTATGCATACAAAGTAACTCGCGGATGAACAAGCACCGCGCCTGAGGTCACAACAGAACATAAATATATATAGCAAGTTATTAGATATAAAAAAAAGTTTCTAGATATTGGTTCACTAAATCTAAATATTTTCGCTTTAGTTGCCTTTCTTAAAAATTCGTTATAGTTTTTTTTGCTTTAAATACTAATTAAAATTAAAAAGCCCACTCACTAAACATTATCAGCGGTATTATGAACCAGTTTCGCTTCCTCTTCATAAAAGTATTTTTAACTTTTTTAGTTGATTTCTATCTAGTAAATTTAATTTCTATAGTAATTCAATGATTTAATTATTTCATTTTCCTAATTTTTTTTTTTTTTTTTTTTGTAATTGTCTCTCATCGGTCCAATTAATCTTGTGCATTTTTTTTTTTTGCTTTTTGAAATGTTCTCAAAACAACTAAAAAATCTGGCCAGCTTTTCGCAACTAAGTATTATTTCCGTGGTCAGCAATCGAGAGCGATCGCTCCCGCTTCCCGACCAAGCCTGCTTTTTGTTAAGTTTTGAAAGGAAAGACATTATTTTAGTAACTTAGAGTAGGATTAATATTAATAACTTTTTTTGGACCAATCTGTTCTCTAATTTTTTCAATTGCTTTATCATGTTCTATTCTTACGAATCCTATTCCTTTATCAAATGGATAAATATCAATTTTCTTGTTTTGAATAATTTCTTTAAATGCTTTGCTTTGATCTCTCATTAGATTATGATTAATTTTTTTGCCCATTTTAAGTTCTCTCAGTACATTTTTCCTTAGGTTTTGCGCTTTTTCAATTTCTTTATTATATTCGAGTTTTAAGGCAGACGATTCAGTTGTTGTAATAATGTCCATGTAAGGTATAGATCTTAAGGAAAGTACAAAGTGTGGACCAAGATTCAGAAGATCGATTTGATTTTCAGGTATCTTGGTATCACAAAGATTTAAAATCACGTTTTTAGTGTATTTTGTTAATTTCTTATTACTTTTGTTGTAATTGAATTCACTTTGAAGTATTTTGAACTTTTTAATTAATCGTTCTTTAGATTTTATAAACATATTTTCACGAGCTTTTTCAGTGATAAATAGCACTTGATTATAGTCTTTGTCTTCAATCTTATTTTTAAGAAACTCTCTCAAGGTTTTTCGTAATATTAATAAGATTAAAATATCGTCTTTTAGAATCATTTTTTATACAAACTAAAAGTTCAAATCTAAAACGAAAAATAATACTTTTTGCTTTCCTTGAATTTACAGGACAATTTATTTGTAAAAATTTCGGAATTAACTTATGTTTCTTGCATTTTTGAAATTTTGAAAATTTCAAATAAATTATTTAGTATTGAGAGAATTCGCATTATCTGATGTTTTAAATCATATATATATATATATATATATATATATATATATATATATATATATATATATATATATATATATATATATATATATATATATATATATATATATATATATATATATATATATATATCAAAGTGAAATTAATAGATTTTTTTAAAAGTATAAATAATTAAGTTATATATTTTTAATTAAAAATTTTTCAAAAATAAAATATACTTTTTAATATGCAATATTTTTATAGTTGCTTTTTAACTTTGTGTCTAAAATACAACTAAATCAAAGTGAAAATAATAGATATGATAATGAAAGTGAAAATAATAGATATGCGCTTATTTAAAGTTAAATTAAATCTTTTTCAAGTGATATAAAAACAATTTTAAAAGAATTGAACTTATTCATACAACTTTTAACTACAAAGTTTTATATGCAAAATTTTTTTCTTATAATTACTTACTTTCTTATTTGGAGCTATTTCTGCACCATTTTAAAACTTTTCAAATTAGGAAAAAATGTTTTACAATTAAGAAGAGTAACAAAGAAACTTTTTAAATATGAAAATAAGCAAAAAGGAGACACAAAGTAATATAAAATGCCCCTTGTCATGGTTTTATTTGACACAAATTAGACATAAGTTAGCTAATGCTAGTTGGGTCAGTCAAGGTCAAAGTCTTCAAAACAATCTTCAAAACAAGCATTATTCGTTCATCATTCATTCATTAATTGTTCATTTATGTTGCGTTGAAAATCGAGACACCATTACAAGTCAATACTATTGTAAGAAGTGATTTGAAACCTGTTATGCGCACAACAAATAAGCAAAGACCTTAAACAGGCACTCAAAATTTTAAATTTCTCTTTGATAATGCTCGATTCTATGTTACTTAAACCATCACAAACTATCCTAAGTTGGAATCACAATAACTTGCTGTACTTGCCAGACTTAGCTCCATCTAATTATTGGCTTAATCTGACTTAATAACAAAAAAAAAATTATGATTATATTAATGTTGAAAGTCAAAAAAGTTGCATAACCAAGCAACTTCAAAGTATCCCAGGAGTAAAGTATAAAAAAAACGTTTGGCAAACAGTTAAAAAGATTGTGTACTGGAATTATGATTATATTTTACTGAGGATACCAAGAAGATAAACCTATTTGTACTTTGTACTTTGTTCCTCGTGAATCTTAAGTAGTTTTACTTTATAAACCAAATAATAACAAATAAAAACTCAAAATAAGAACAACTTCTTAAAATAAATATTTTGGTTGGTAACCGATCTCGCCTATTGATTGGGGGATAATCATGTTGATAATTAGCCAGTATTACATTGTAAATATTTATTTTATTTTTTAGCTTCTCTACAAAATTAAAAAAAAGCAACAGTTGTAACCAGAAAAATAAATAAATCTGATTATTTAGTAGTTACTTAAAATCAATAATCAAAAAATTTAAGCTAGCAATTAAAAAATATATATATATATATATATATATAAATGGTAGTCATTATTTTTACGCGCGTACAAATAAGGTTTACAAAATAAGAATATATTGTACTTAAAATGTGCGTACAAATAAGAAAAAAAAATAGTTGTACTGGCGTACAAATAATGCTTCCTAAATTTATAGTTGTTAATAAGATCAAACAAAATTCTCATTTCATTTTAAAGATTCTAAAATTTTGAGCTTACGAAGTTTTGAAAAATAAAAAGCTTTTTCTTTTTTTTTTTTTTTAAATAATAATCTAGCTAATATGATATTGCATATAAAATAAGATGTTTAATAAAATTTTTTTTGTGAAATTCTTTAAAAAAGTTTTTTTTTTTTTATAGATCTTTGCAAAAACAAATGAATTAAATATTCAATTTCTTCCTAATGAATCATCTTCTCTTCTTGAAATAAAAGAAAGTTTACTTAGAATTATTGACATGCAGGTAAAAGTTTGTTGCATTTTAGATCTTATTTTCAGTGATACATTTGGTCAACAATTTTTTGTTTGTTGGTTTAAAAACATTTGTATGGTTAAACAAAAAATGTTGAAATTTATAATTATGATTATCAACAATTATCAAAATATATTATGTGTATATATATATATATATATATATATATATATATATATATATATATATATATATATATATATATATATATATATATATATTTAAACTAATTTTAAAAATCTTTATGCTAAATTTTTATACTAACTTTTTTTTTTAATTTTTAGGTTAACACCTGATTATTATCAGGTATTGAATAAGTTCACAATACTTGTTTCTTGTTTCTCAACTTGTTTCTCCATGCAGCGGCCTTGTTCGTCAAGGTTGGTGTTTTGGAGTTATAGAGTGGAGAGAGGGTTATTACCACAATTAAGTAGCCTCCTTGTCTGTAGTGGTCTTCTTGACTTTGGTGAGGTGAATTAACATTAAAACTTTATCATTTTAAACGTTATTAAAAATTTTTTTAAATGTTAATTTTAGATGAGAAAAAAAGTTGATACTAATATAGAACTTTTTTATAAAATTTTTTACATTTACTGAAAAGTAAAACTTTATTGGTGTATAATATCAATAATATTAAGTAGTTGTCCGGACCCGTAAAATACGTGTCTTGGTAAATCTGTTCTACACTGACCTTTTCTATACTTATTCTATACTTGAATATTTTTTAGTAAGCGGCAAAAAAGATACCTATAGAAAAACTATAACTGTTGTTTACTTTTCAAAGCTATAAAAAAAAATTTTCAAAGCTATAAAAAAAATTTTTTAATCAACTTTAAAAAGCTTTAAACGTTTTGGTAGCCATTGTGTGAATCGCTATTTATTAACTGATTGGATATTAGTACCTGTCTAAATAATATTTAGAATACCTGCGTCTAATGTGTTAATTAATTACCATTGGTTTTAAAAATTTCAAAAAACATGAGATGACTTAATTATGTGGAATAATGGACTTGCCATGACCCGTGTACTAGTCATGATAAATCTATTCCACACCAATCATTTTAATAACTTTGCTTTCAAAAAATTTTGAAAAATAGCGAAATATAAAAATCTTTGTTTTGAGTTAACAATTTATATTCAATACTTTATAACTTCTATAAAAAAACAGAACAAAAAAAAACCTTATTATTTTTTTCTTTAATAAGTTACTATTAATTTTTTTTCAGACCATTCGCAGCTCTTTAGGACTCTTACTCCGTTAATTTTGAAAAGTTAAAGTTTGCATATAAAATCTTTTTTCTATTAGAAAGAAAGTTATCTCGTAAGTGTGCGTTAAACGCGCAGGTCAAACTAATTACTTAGGCGCTTTAATAACAGAATTTTTCCAAAAAATATGGGTGTTTCCTTTTTTTAGAACTTTTGAAAAGCTTTTTAAAAAATTTTCTCCTTTTGTTTAGTACATTATATCTTTATATATGTTATGCATATCCTTTTCAGGCCTTTAAAAATGTTTAACTTTGTATTCTAGAAAATTAGAAAAGATTTGAAAAAAAAAGTGTAAGCGAAAGGATATGAACCCACACAAAGCACTTCAACCACTTTGACACGTTTAATCATCTGTTTAATAAAACAAAGACTTATTAAACTTTATAAAACAGCATTTTTCTTTTTTCTTTTTTTTTTTTCAATTCACCTCCTCAAGGCCGAGAAGGCCACTACAGACGAGGAGGCTAATAATTTGTGGTAACAACCCTCTCTCAACTCTATAACTCTGAAACACGAACATTGACGAACAAGGTCGCTGCGCGGAGAAACAAGTTGAGCGCGGTACTACCAGGGACGTGGTGGGAATCAAACTCAGAACCACTCGTTTATGAAGTGAGCGCTCTACCACTACACCACTACCCCAAAGTAAAGCCTTATTGAAACTTACATATACATGCTTTAAATTAAAATTAAGGAGCCGCAGTCAAAATTTCAAGTAAAAGTAAATCTGTAAAATTTGAAATAATTTATGCATCTTGAAGTTTACATCTTAGATATTTGCATAGATTTTTGTTCACATTAATAAAATAGAAATCATTACGGATTGTGGTTTTAAAAGTATCATCTGATTAATTTTAAAAAAATAATCAAATAAAAAAACAGAAAAAAGGTGGAAATAAGTGAAATAGGTGCTACAGATCAAATTTTAAGGAGATATTGCTGCAAAGCTATTTTCACATGAAAGTAAAACTGAAAAACAAATAAACTAGATATATGTTTTAGTATGTTTTTAACATTACATAATTTGAAGAAAGTTAGATATTTGCGTTCTCACTTTCATTCTTATTAAAAAGTGCTGCTATTCTTTCTCACAATTACCTCGGTTGCAATGGCTGCCAAGAGTATAGTGTCAAACACGCTCAAATGAGCATTGACATATTCCCTGTTATATTATAATATGATAAGTGTTATTACTTTAATACCAGCTTTTTTGAATTTATGTTAATTATTACAGTTGTTTAAATTATTATTAATTTATGTTAATTATTACAGTTGTTTAAATTATGGCTTTTAGTTGATTTCAATAAAGTTAATAAGTTTCAATAAAGCTTTACAAAATTTGTTTTTTAATCTTTGTTATTAGTTAAAAATAATACTTTTTTATTTTTTCAATACATTGACATATTTTATAGTGTAATTATGTTCTTAAGGTGGAAAATACAGTACTTAGTACTGGCGTCCAGGATTCTGGTTATCAACAGCTACAGCGAGAATGTTGGTTTAATTTTTACTCCTTCGTCAACCAGTACTTGCAGGTTCATATTTTATTTGTTTGTATAGTATATTGTACTATAATTGTTTTAAGTATAAAAATGTCAACAATAGGTGTTTGGAAATTACCAATCACAATCCAAATAAGTAAGATTATAACATAAATTATTAACATTAGTAATTATAAATATGATAATAATAATAGTAAATTAGTTGATAAAAAGCCAGAAAAATAGGTAATGATTCCTATAGTCCTAAAAATTTTATTAATATTTTGAAAAGATTGTTCAATGTATTTTGTTGCATTATACAAAAATATTTTAAATACTGAATATCAAGCTAACTTTTCAAATTATGACTTTTAGAAAAAAGAATATGATTTCAATGTTTTAAGATGTATATAATGAAAAGATATTAAACAAATGAACTTCTATATATATATATATATATATATATATATATATATATATATATATATATATATATATATATATATATATATATATATATATATATATATATATATATATATATATATATATATATGTATATATATGTATATATATATATATATATGTATATATATGTATATATATATATATATATATATATGTATATATATATATATATATATATAAAACATTGAAATATGATTTCAATGTTTTAAGATGTATATAATGAAAATATATTAAACAAATGAACTTCTATATATATATATATATATATATATATATATATATATATATATATATATATATATATATATATATATATATATATATATATATATATATATATGCAGCAACGTAACCAGGCCAATTTTGATACCGGTATACCGGTATAGGCCTCCAAATTTCAGCCCAAACTCAATTTAAAACAATTTTTTATTAGCACCCATAAAAAATAAAAAAAATAATTTTTTATTACTTATTGTCTTGCTGTTTTGTGAGAAAATTTGTTATGATAATTATGATAATAATATTTGTTATGTTGTTAATGTCCATTAGAAAAACCAACATTTGAAAAGCGACTTTTAAAACACATTTTAAATGTATTTTAAGTCAATCAGAATGCTTTATTCGAATTCGCGTTGATAAAATATGGAAGATGTTACAACTGGATTAAAATGTAAAATGTATGTTTTGATTGGATTAAAATATGAAATGCTCAGCATTTTTTAATTAAAAACTTTAACATTTAAAAAAACTCTAATTTGAGTTTCTCCCCCGTTTATGTTTACTTAATACAATTTTCAAAGCGATTAAACTATATGAGCTTTAAACTTTTTCATTTTAAATAACAGTAAAATTGCATCAAAAATATTTAAATAATAAAACGAAGAAAAGTTTTTAAAACATAATAACATTATAATAATTGCATCAAAAACTTGATTTGAAAAGTAAGAGTAGAAAAGAAAAAAAAGTTAATAATTTTTAAATGAATTAATTAAAAGTTGGAATGAATTGACCTTAATATGCAGTAAATACGCTATGTAATAAATCTTTTTAAGTCTTTATAAAAGAAATATACAAATATTGTTTATTAAATGTTATAGCTATCACTTGTTAATAAAAAAATTCTCTTTATATTAGTAAGCAAATAAAGCAAGTAAATGAAAACTAGCGGAGAATTGACGTTGGCGTTAAAGCCAACAATTGTTTTTGTAGAAGAGTGTTCAATATTTAAGAAATATATTTTTTCAAAAGCAACATTTTATACTTAAAATTTAGAAAAAACTTCTTTTTATGGAACTTAAAGTTTCACGCCTATTGGCAATGATCACCATAACGAAGTACAAAATCAAAATATAAAAAAAAATGTTTAAAAATTACAAACTACAATACTATAATGCAAGAAGATGAAAAATGGAAAACTAATCCTTTATCATGTAATGAAAGTAGAAACTAATTTTTGTGCCTGCATTTAAAAATTAATTTGTCTCCTTTGTGCCTCTAAATTTAACATAAGCGTTTAACAATGTTCTATTTGATTAAAGGTGTAAAAGTATTTTCTTTTAATTCCCATACTTCATTAGATAACTCAGTGTCGTTTTTGTACTTTTTTTATGTTAAAGGGTTTTAGATGGTTCACATAATGTAATTTAAAAGAAGTTTCACTTCCCCATGTATACTTTATCTTTGTATTGAGGTTTATTTAAGCTTACAGTTGCTTGGTAAAAAATGTTGTTAAACAAGCAATAGTTGTTTAGTGGACAAAGGGATTTTTTAATGCAATTCCAATATAATATATATATTTTAATCAATATTTGAAAGTATATTTAATCTATATGCATCTATATGCATTACATAATCATTACCAGCACAAAATATTTAATTGACATTTAAAGTTAAAATTTATTTAATATTTTAAGTACTGCTATCAAATGTTTCTAAAACTTTTTTTTTTAAGGCTAGACTGAAACCGGTTGGATTGCATGTCAGTAAAAATGGCTGCTTCGTAATTCGTCAGGTATATTTGTTTTAAATTTTATATTACTTACATTTTTTTTTTAAATTGTTTATTATATAGGTAATTACTCATTTCTTTATTATACTCACAGAAGTGTTATGGGTATGTGCAACCTCTTTCATGGTCTGATCATTTATACCTGAGCAACTTGGAAACTTGTGAAGGAGTTCAATCATTTATAGATCATGAATTAGAACTTAATGGTATAAATTTGAAAATTTTAATATTACGTTTTTACTACTCAATTTTTTCTTTTTGTTTTAAAATTTTTTATATATATTACAGGAAGTATTGTTAGCAGAGACATAATGTTCCTTGTTGAATGTATGAAGGCTATACCATTGCAGGTTAACATACATTCAAACTAGCTTTTAATTATTTTTTTTAATTTTTTTTTTTTTTGTTCTTTATTTCTGTTTGCAACAATTATAATTTTTATATTTTTTTGCCTAATGTATTAAGTTTTTTACTAGTTCAATGAAGAAATTCTTTTTGGTGTGGATTGTGATCTTCAAGGTAATGAAGATGTAAAGGTTTTCCTAGAAAGCATGGCAGATGCTCTTATCACTAATAGCAGGTTGAATAAATTTTCATATAAGAGGAATTTGAATTTTTATGAAGATTGTGACTTTAATAATCAAAATTAAATTTAAAAATTATTTATTTCAAACAAAAAAGGGCTTAAAACACCATCCTAAACTTTTTAGGGGTTTAAACATCCATCCAAACTGAGGTTAAAACATCTACTGAAACATTCATTTTTCTTTTTTACCACTAAATAAAAGTATAAAGAAGTATACTTTTTCTATAAACTATAAAACTTATTATTATTATTTTTTTTTTTTTTTATTTATTTATTTATTTATTTTTTTTTTAATTTATTTTTTTTTTTTGATTTTCATATAAATACCATTCAAGTTGCTAAGTAACAAAAATAATTGCATAAAGTGGTATAGTGGTGATGTTAGTATAATTAAAATTTAACTTTCTTTTTTAGTAATTTTGAGCAATTAGTTGGTAATGACCCCAAAAGAGTCGATTTTATATTAAGTATTGAAGCAAGGTTAGTTTTGTTTATAATTAATGTACGTGTTTAATCAGCTCTGTTTTTAATTGTTTTTGTGTTTTGTTTTTAACTGTGTTCTTTTTTAGGTTAAAACATTTAAAAAACCCAGCAAAAGCTGTTGAATATATTCTGTCTGCAATTGATATTTTAGAAGAACAAACAACAACAAAGGAATTCCTTAAAAGTATATTACAACTCTCTTTGATACAATATCATACTTATTATAGTTACCCCTTTTAAGCAAGAAAAAATATTTACTTTTGCTAAATTGAGATTATCTAAATATATTCTGAATTCAGGATATTTCTTTAAACTTTTTTTTCCAGATTTTCAAAAAGTTTTCTATAAATACAAGTTCAAAAACTATTTTGCAAATAGATATATTTAATATCTATTTGCAAAATAGTTTTGAACTTTTTCAGTCATTGACCATTCATAAAAAAAGAAGTTTCAAAAAAATTAAGCCATTAATTTAAAGCTAAATTAAGACAAATATTAGGGAAATAAATTATGGATTTTTTCTGGATTTTATTTTTGCAAAATGTTTTCCAGATTTTTTAAATATGACCTAAATAATCTTTGTAAGTCTAACACTTTCTTTTAGTTCATCATTTTAATATTTTCCTGCTGTAGCTTATGCATTAATATTATTACTATTATTATTATTATTATTATTATTATTATTATTATTATTATTATTATTATTATTATTATTATTATTAACATTATTATTAACATTATTATTGTTATTTATATTAATTTAAAAGCACAAAACCATCCAGTTTCAAAAAGTAATTTATTATTGGTTATCCCAAAAGCAGATTTTTAAGTTTTTTTAAATTTGATTTAAAAATTTAATTTAAAAAAAACTATCCTTATGATACTGATTATTTCTTTGAATAAAATATTTATTTCTTGGAATAAAGTATTTATTTCTTGAAATAAAATGTTTCTTGGAATGAAATATTTATTTCTTGGTATAAAATATTTATTTAGTTCCAAGAAATAAATTATCAGTATCATAGAATTTGCAGAGAATGTGCAGGTCTTAAGCATTTTTTAGTTATGAAAATTATTATTGAGTTATTGATATTTGAAATGTTTTATTAAATATTCTTTTGTATGTGACTTACACATTTTTTTTAATAACTTAGTGTCTGGGACAAGAAATGATTTTTATAACCAAACATTTTGTGGACAAGAAGGGATTGAAATAATCAGTGAAACACTTTCGAAATTTTCGCTGACACGCATGCATTTCTGTCGGGACTTTTTCATTCTTTTAAAGCTTATGAGCAAAATTTCATGCAAGGTATAAATTTTATATGCAAGATTTTACACACAGAGACTTTGCTTTGAAACTTTTTTTTATAAATTGGTTGGAGTTGTTAATATTTAAGTGTATTTTAAGATAAACTTAGACTTGTCATGCTCAAGAGATTTTGGAAGTATTGTTGCTAAAAGAGTATATGCACTTTTGCGATCATACCATGCTGTTTATTGGTCTGCTAATACTTGTTTTCAGTTGGTTGATTCTTCAACTGTGTAAGCCTTGTTATTAGATATTATAAAGCATAATTGTTAATAGGCCAAAATATTTGTTTGGAATGTTATGTTTTAAGTTTTGATATTTGATTTTAATTTTTAAAAAAGTGTAGTTGAAAAAGTTTTAGGTATAGAATTTTCAAATTAAACAGTTAACATAAAATATTTTAGTATTAAAATAGATGATAATATAGTTGTAAATAATAATATAATTATTAAAAACAAGTCATTTTAATGCACTTTAACAAGTGCATTCTTTATTGTAACACTTTAATAGAGTTGCAAATTGTCTGACAATATGGAATTTTTTTTTAAGATTGGGACATGCTAAAGTATTGTTGCACAGTTTTATATAGAATTTTTTGCAATGTTATTATGTTTTTTTTTTAATAATATTAATGATCTAGTTTTTTAAAATATATAAATATGAGGCAGTTGCTGGAACAAGCAACTTTTTATTTTACTACTATTGGAACAAGTTTTGTTAATTTGGTTGTTTTTGTAACATGATTGGGTATGTTGTTATAAATGCAACTCTTTAGTGTGCTGTCATCATAACTTGTAATTTGTTATATAAATAGTTGTAATATATCCTGTCATTGCAGAACAGACTTTCTAGAAATTCTATTTAGTAATACTACTCTTTGCATGTTGCAATGTTTTTGTAACATGCAAAGTTATATTATTAAGTTGAATAATTGAAACATGTGATAAAAAAAAATGTAATACATAATTTTTTTATTTTTAAATAGTAACGTTAATAATAGCTGTTATATACAAAATATTTTAAAAATAATTTCAGTGAGGCTAACTTGGTTCACTTAGCTGCTTTAAATCTGACAGAAAAAAGTCCAGCATCAAAATCTGCAAGAAAAACAAGTATTATATTTATTTATTTTTTTGTCTTTTTTTTTATTTTATTTTATGTTTTTTATACTTTTATTATATTAAGTTTGGTATTTTTCACTAATTTTTAATTATTTGTTTTTTATTAATTAGTTGATTTTACGGAACAACCGACATCACTTTTACTAAGCTTTACAAGAGATATTGGTATAATGAAGGTTATCTGCTCCTTAAATAATGAAGAAGGAATGTCTAAATACCAACCTTCAGACTTGCTCCACTTTTTTTTTTCTTCGATAATAAAAAATATGTATCTTTTTTCTAATTAATTTTAAACAGTTTTGATATTGGTCTAATGTTAGGAATTTTAATGCTATTAAAAAATCAAAGACTTTTCTTGTGTGTATCAAATAACTAACAAATTTAAATTGAATATTTTGTTCTTGATCTTTATTTATTGAAAAATGCATCAATAATAGTAATTCTTTTGAGATATTTTTATTGCATATTTTGATCTGGTTTATAATTTGGAACAGTTAATGCACCTTAAAAATCATTTTATTTGTAACATGTTTTACAAATAATTTGTAAAATTCTGTTTAATTGCTTTAACCATAAATTTTTGTTAGTTGGTTGTTAAATGAAAAATGCTCAGATTTTCCGGAATATTTGGCAGCTCATTGTCAGTATGCATTGTTAAGTGAGTATTTACATTTTGCAGACACATGGTGTGATTCAGGTAGAGGAACAAAAGATTTTTTGTTAGGGCAATCTTACTTAGGAACCGATGAACCTGAAAAAGCATTAAAGTACTTTGTTAGTGCAGTCAGAGGCATCAGTAAGTTTTCTATTTTTAGTATTTAAATACAATTACATCATTAAAAAGATTTTACAGACTGTTAAAAACATATTTTTTTACTTTAGGACTAAAAGAACCTCTTCTTATTAGTCTGACTGAAGATGAAGATGAAAAAGAGTTATTAGTTCAGTATTTTGTTAAGGTGTCATTTATTTTCTGTATACATTTTTTTCAATTTTATGAATATTAAAAATGTTACTGTAAAGGTAAAACAGTCCTTTACGACTTTACGGTCCTTTAAATTTATGGTCCTTTAGGTTATGCGATTATTTGAGCAATGGAATCATCCCCTTATGGTAATCTCAGCTGCATCTTCTGCCATTGCTATGGCCAGTAATAAAAGTAAAAACAAGGTAATCTTGATTTTTTTTTTTTTTTTCAATTGAAAAATTTTTTTAATACTGGGGTGTTTAAATTTATCTTGGATATTACTTAGCCTGTGTTGTGGTCAGTTGTTTTTAAGTATCATTTACAACTGGGCCATTATAGTGAGGCTTACGCCGCCATAGTGCACAATCCTGATAAGACTAGGTAAGTTCTCTTGATCTTTTTACCTTTTTTTTATTGTTTTAACCTTATTAAATTCAGAAAATTCTGTACATTTGTAACAATGTTTTATTAGACGCCATGATTGTTTGCGCCATTTTATTGTTACATTGTGTGAAAAAGGAATGTTTAAAGAAATATGTTCATATCCTTATGTCAATGTTGAAGATGAAGTAAGAACTTTTTCGGGGGTTTATTTGTGTGATCTTTTATATAATTTTTAAACTTATTAGACATTATCTTTAATTTTATGTAGGTAGTTAGCATAATTGAAGCACGGGCTCGTTCTACAGATATCACAGTCAATAAATATTATGACATACTTTATTCCTATCATATACTCAAAAGCGATTATAGAAAAGGTAAAAATTTTTTTAGCTCTACTAAAGTGTTTTTATTTTCTGTTTATTAAAAGTTGTTTTGTCACTTTAGCTGCTACAACTATGTATGAACAGTCTTGCAGATTAGCAACAGAAATGCATGGTTTAAAGTCTTTGCAAAAACAAGTTGCTTTTTTTATTTTTAAGTTGTTATTTAAATTTTTAGGATTTTATTTTTTGAAGCTAAAAATTTGGTTGTATTACTATTTACCGTTTTCCACTTACAATAGGCAAAGTGCTTGTTGGCTTCATTAAATGCGCTAAAATTGGTAGAATCTAAATATGCCTGGATTGTAAGACCTCAAGAAAACTATAGCAAAAACAATACTTTAGTAAAGGTATATATTTATTTTATTTTTATGCGAATGCGATTTTTTTAATTTTGAACTTTCTTTATCTGTTTTCCTGTCTCTTTTTATTTTTAATGAACAGGATAACTTAAAAAAAAAAGTTATTGATATTTTTATTATTCATAATTATGAGAAAATTTATAATTTAATCTTTAGAATTTTTTTTTTTATAATAATAAGGTATAAATGAAAAGTTCAATACTTAGTATTAATTGCTTTGGCCTTTATTTTCACAATATTTTCACCTATTTTTAACTTGAAATTAGACGAGGAAAAGAGTCAAGTGGCTTTTGATTTAGTAAGCGACCAGGGTTGATATTTGACCGGAGTCAGGGCAGGGTTTAATAAAATATAGCCGGGGCAGGGGCCGAGGCCGGGTTTGTTACCAGGGCTGCATAAACATTTATACATCCTGAAGTATATTTTTTTAAATTCAAAATTCATGTTATATTTTTATATATATATGCATATATAAACTTCATTATGATCAACATGATCATAATAAAGTTTGTTGATAACTTAATGAAAAAATTTGAAGTGTATGTATTAGGGTTAGTTCACATAAAAAGTACATGTAATGCTGAACAAACAAAACTATATGTTGCAAATAAGTTAAAAGAATTTGAAATTGACATTAAGTCAATTAAGATATAATATCATCAACACATGATGGAGCAGCTGTTATGGTCAAGTATAGAAGGCTATTAGGCATCATATCTCAACTTTTTTTATAACCACGGTTTGCATTTAGCAATAACTGATGTATTGTATAAAAAACAACAATAAAAGTTTTGTGAAGAAAATGAAGAAGTAACAGATTATGAGGATGTTAGTGAAGACATTGAAGGTGAATCTGTCAAAAACATTGATAATGAGTTGAACTCAAATAGTTTTGAAGATGTTAACATAATCTGCGAGCTAGAGAAAAACATTGAAATCATAGATCTCACTGAAGATTTTCAAGAAGTTATACAAAATGTCAGAAGAATCATAAAAATGATAAAATTCCCTTCAGTAAAAAACAACATGTTACAAGGATATGTTAATGAATATTGCAGTTGATGTTAGATGTCAAAACTCGGTGGAATTCATTAATAGCAATTCTCAAACGATTCCTTTAAATAAAGGATCCTATAAATAAAACTTTAAATGAATTAGGGCAACAAAAGATTTCAGAGGAGAACGTAGCAACTTTAAAAGAACTATTAAATGTCTTATTGCAGATAGAAACTGCAATAAAGGAGTTGAGTAAAAATTCTGCAACTCTTTTGACGGCTGAAGGTGTTTATAAATTTATATTTGAAAACTTAGATCAGTTACAAACGAATATAAGTAAAAATTTGTTAAAACAGATAAAAAAGCGAATGGATGAACGTCATGATAAAATCTTTATGACATTAAAAATCTTCTTAGAATCAGGCAATATTCCACATTCTACTAAATTTTTTGAATATACTTCAAAAGCTGCCGCTATTACTTTAGCAGTGGAAATATTTAAAAAGATTCATACATCTAGTGGTGACAGCAGCAGTACTGAGAACAATGAGGTCAAGGAAATTGCAAAAGAAATAGCAAGTGAATTTATGCCTAAAAGTCAAAGTACTAATAATGTTATGCAGCAAAAGCTGAAAGCAGCTATTTCCTCAATTACCCATGCAGAAAAGCAGAGCAGCACAAATACTTCACTGTTGAAAAATGATTTTATGTTTTTAACAACCACTAAAACAAGAACAAATAACTTAAATATATTGTTTAATGCACTTCTAACAATTAGACCAACATCTACTGCAACGGAGCGCGTTTTTCAATTGCTGGTTTAACACGGACAAAAATTAGAACTCGCTTAAATTTTGAAACTCTTAATGCAATTATTTTTTTGAAATATGCATTTTTAAAAATGAAATAAATGTAATTAGTATAATTGTTTTATTTTTTTTTATATTTGATTTTTTAATGTATATCACTAAAATACTTAAGTTAAAATTAATTATTACTATGAATGTGTTAAGTTCAATCTATTATCTTTTTTTTTTGTTATCCGGATATCCAGATATATCTGAATAATTTGAATTTTTAGTATTCGATATCCGGACAGTCATTAATGTCGGATAATTGGAAGCCCTATTTATATCCATAATATGTATGCCTAAAGCGCATCTCAGAAGCTTTTATTCCTTTTGGAATAAAAGTTTAAATGCTTTTATTCCTTGTCTTTGATTTTAAGTCAAGCCTCATTCTACTCCACATTTTTCACCATCTTGACCAGTTGCTTTATTAAAAATTAAATCATTTTTTACATCTTTTTTACAAGAACATCTCTCTTAAGAACAAATGTCTTTTTATTATTCAAAGAAGCCAATGTAAAAAGGTCCTGTCTTATGTTAAGTTCTATTATTATCAGTTTACTAAATCTTGTATCTTATCTCAGATGTTAGGTTCTAGGGACTTTTGGTTAATCTTCATCAGTGTCATTAACTAAAGTAACATTTAATCTCTAATTCATGGGACTGATCTTTTTACTGCTCCCCAGAATAAAGCAGTTTTTTGCAAGGAAATCTTACTCTAATTTGACTCTTGAATCGAATGGCCATACTCTTACTGTCAGTTAAACAGATTAACCCATTGTTAAACATCCAAATCACTCTGGCTTCCAATGCTAAAGTTAATTCTTAATTAAAAACCTCTACAGTTTGTGCTCCAGACAAGATTTCCATCATATTCTTTTCCATCATATTCTCCAGAACTGTCTTCAATTTTTGCTAAATTTTTAAAAAGTGCTGACAAGGTGGTTCCAATTTTTCAAAACCCTTTGATCTCTCCAACTATCCTACAAATAGTCTTTACTCTGTTATTTTTTTTATATAAAGGTTTTGAGATTGAATTGTTTGTAGTATTAAAATTATTCTTGAAGGCCTCCTAACTGCAGAATTAAAGTTAATCTTGAAGGCCTCTTAACTGCAGAATTAAAGTTAATCTTGAAGGCCTTCTAACTGCAGAATTAAAGTTAATCTTGAATGATGAAATTGTATTACATTGTCTTTAATGTAATGTAAAAAAACATTGTCTTTAATGTAATGTAAAAAAACATTCTAGCTTCCCACCTTCTATGATGCTAATAGATTCTGCATTATACACACACACACAAACAATAAGAATAGGGAACTAATTGTTTATTTTTAACAAAACATCACTTTATAAATCATTTGTTTACATATTTATTTCAAAAATATTCTCTTGTTTTTATTTGTTGCATTTTTATATTTTAAACTATCTGTAACTGAAATCTAGTGATAAATACTTAAACATTAAAAAAGTGAAAAAGAGTTAAAAACATTAAAAAGTTGATCTTGTTGCTATGACAACTTTTAATTTGTATTCTCTTTTTTCTATATAGTTTCTTGAAAAATATGTTTGTTTTTTTCAAGATTTTATTTGAATGTGCAACGCTCTAGGTTTGTTGCTATTTACATTATTTTCAGTTTTGTTGGTTCTATCGGGTAACATTTTTAAGTCTGTTCTCAAAATTGATGTAAAATGTTTTCCTTTTCCTTTTTAATAATTTTTCTGAATCTTTTAATATACTTCTTTCTTAATCTTTCATTTGATATACTTTTTTCTTAATCTTTCATTTAATATACTTTTTTCTTAATCTTTCATTTTGATTGCTATAATTATTTTCTTTCTCTTTTTTTTTTTTGAAATTTTAATTTGTTTTTAAATGATTTAATCGAATTGTAGAAATTTCAAGATCTTCAAATGTCAAACTTTTTAATTCGAAACCAATTAAACAGATTGTTCATCGAAAATGAATGATAATAAAAAATTATAATTAATAATTGGTAGAAATAATCTCTGTGAAAATAATTTATTGAAAAATCCTTAAAGATTAAGCTTTCATTTAATAAGAAACTTTGTTTTAAATTTGTAAATATTTTAATGTCAAAAGTAATTATGAAAGAATTTCATTATTTATAAAATAATTTAATAACAAACTATTTTGTAATATATATATATATATATATATATATATATATATATATATATATATATATTATATATTATATAATCTATTAGTTAAACATAAACTGTTAAATTATTTTAATTAAGTTTATTCTAATAAAATTTGCTGGTTTAGAGTTCTAATGATTTCACACATTCTCCTAAAAGGCGAGAAAATGGGGAAGAAATTTATTACTCATCAACTTCAACAAAAAAATGTACTACATCAATTGTTATTATAGAGTTTCATGATTTGGAAAAGTCATATATGTTGCTTTTAGCTAGGCTAAAGTTATTGCAACATGGTAAAAATGAATCTATTGTTGTAGGTAGGGATTGTATAATTATTTTTAATAATAGTTTTTTTGTTCTTTACTTTTTATTTATTAAAAAATATTATTTTAGGCCCAGGTTTATCTGCATCAGAAACAGTCATTTTACTTTCACAAGTTGGCTTGTTTGATATGGCATTTTCTCTTGCAAATATATATAACTTGCCTTTTAAAAGAATATTTGAAACTCTTGCGTCAAAGTAAGCAACTAATCTATTATATATTTTATAAGTTTTAAAATTTATTTATTTGCCAATATTAAATACTTTGAAAATATTTTTTTAGATGTGTCAATCTTGTTAATTGCACTAAAAGGTTTGTTTTATGCATAATTTTAGATATATTTTATATTGTATTGGGTTGGCTAAATAGTATTAAGTGATTTTTTAAAAATTTCTTGAAAGTTCTGGAAGCTTCAAGAGAGTGAGTATATATAGGGTGTAAAACGGCTTATCAGAATAAATAATATTACTGCATGACAACTTCTGTATATCATATTAAAGAAATTTTTTTTCAAAACAATCTGCAGCAAAAATTTTTAGGCTGCAGTTTGTTTTGGCTTTTGCCTCCCAGTTGGTGCTTGTTGCCATAATTTATTTTTTTTCTGGGTGCAAAATGTTTAAGAGGCTGCCATTGATTGGGAGGTGAAAGTTTCCCAATCAATGGCAGCCTCTGAAACATTTATGAATAATTTATTGCCTTTTACTATTTAAAAAAAATTATTATTTTGTCCTCATTTTGTTTTTAAAAGCATTGAAAAAAAAAATTATTTATAAATGTAGCAGTGATGATGAGCAATGGAATTGGTTATTATTTAATGAGATTTCATCTTCACAACTTGTTACATCTAGCAGGTGATTATTTATCTTTTGATGATTTATATTTTATATTTTGAATAAACTGAGAAGAGCTAAAATATTTTCCCTATTTTAGAAGTGGAAAGTCTGAACTTTACAATAAAATATAGAACTTTAAACTATTTTTTAAATATAATTTATACATATATTTATTTTAGTGCCGTTCATCATGCTTTTCTTTTGTTGCAATCATATTTAGAAAAATTTCATGATAAGTCTATTCATTTAAAAGCAGTGACATCAAAGTTACTAAGTTTGGGACTGCATCTTCCTTCTTGGTTAGTTAAAGATTATGAGGTAAAAGTTTATTTCTGAATTATAAACAGTGCAGTATAAAACTATATAGTGAAACCAGTCCTAATGTCTAGGATTACGAATTTGAAAATTATCATAAATAATGCTTAAAAACCTTTTCGCAGTTATGAAATGCATCTTGGGTAATCAGGGCAAACAAACAACAAAGTTAGTTTGATTTAATGAAGGAAAGTTGAAGAGTTTATTTTTAATGTTCTGCCACAGATTTAGCACTTATTATTCAATATTATTATTAGAAAATATTCGATGTTTTATAAATTGGTTTTTTAATCAATAAAAATAATAAATATAAATTTAAACTGCCAAACAAATTTATAATGCCAAACTGCTATGTATTGTTACTCTGTTGTTGGTTGTAATAATGACTTCATTGAAGTCTTCAAGTGTCCAGATAATTTTTTTAAAAGAAGTCAAAAGTGCCGAGTTTAACTCTTTTCCTGATGATTTAGCAAAAAGCAATCTAAATCATGTTGTAAAAGATTTATTGATTTCGAGTTTGGAAAACCTATTTTGCTTTGCTTAATTCTTATACATGAAAGAAGTTATTGCTTATACATGAAAGTATCGTTATGCAGAATAAAAATCTTCTACAAAAAGAAGAAAAACTTGAGTGAATCATTGCTATATTGACATTAGATTGAGATAAACTTGATAACAACACTTTCTTAAAACCGTAGGAATTAAAGACTGATAAATCTATCAAGTTTAATAGACACTTGATGATACTTATATGATGTTAATTGTTTTTGCTAAATTATTTAGATATTTTCTGATTTTCATTTTTTTGCAAGTCTAGCATATACAAAGGCCTTGAATATGCTAGGCCTGCAAAAAATCCCATTTTTGTCCCATTTTTGTCCTGCTAATTGTTTGGGTAATGTTTGTTTTTATTTGTTTTGTAGTTGCTAATTATATTTGTTACTATTTATCGAGTGATTTTTTTGTTGTTGTTTTACTTTATTCTTTTTTTCATCTTTCTGATCTCATGTGTTATTCATTTATTCTCAAATCATATAATCCATTCATTTCGTTTTTACTTTTATTTTCTTGCATTTTCAGTTTACTATTTTTCTTTAAACCGCTTTTTTATTTTTTATTTTATTTATTCTTTTTATTTGTTTGTTTTTTGTTTTATTTGTTTATTTTATTAAGGTGTCACTTCATTGACTAGTTTGTAACTATACAAATGAGACCGAACGTAATTTTATAAAATTAAAAATGATTTGTAATTTTTTCAATAAAATAAATGGATTAAAAAAAAATTTCAGATGATATCTAATGATGTACGAGAAAGCTATATATATATATATATATATATATATATATATATATATATATATATATATATATATATTAACATCTTCGCTTCCAACAAGGCTGCAAGCAACCACTAATTAGTGTTGGAAGTTACTGGAAGAGAAAAGATAAAGGTTGTAGAGCAAGATAACGATTGACAGATGACTTAAAAGTCATCTGTCAATATGACTTAAAATTATATGAATCAGGAAAGCAAGAGAAGGAAGTGAATTCCAAAGAACTGATGTTCGAGGAAAAAAACTAGACGAATAAAAGTTTTTGGAGCACTTAGGAACAGTAACAGAAAAAGGATTAGACTTAATTGAATGACGAGTAACACGAAAATGAGTTTTAGTAATTGGCACAAGAGACGCTAGCTCTTTTTTAGAGCAGTGCCCATTATAGTATTTGTAGAAAAGAGAAAGAGAAGCAACATTACGACGATGTGACAGAGGTTGAAGGTTGGCTGCAAGAGCAGGTCCAACTATGTTTACAATGCGTTTTTGCACCTTGTCTAAAAGTGAAAGGGCATCATTAGAAGATCCGCCCCAGATATGGCAACAGTATTCCATACAAGGTCGGATTTGAGATTTGTATATATATATATATATATATATATATATATATATATATATATATATATATATATATATATATATATTATATAATATATATAATATATATATATATATATATATATATATATATATATATATATATATATATATATATATATATATATATATATATATATATATATATATATATATATATATATATATATATATATATATATTGCAAAATGATTGAATTTAATACAAGCCATAAGGTATATAAAGAACCTTTTTGTATTTTGAGTTGAGTTATTCATTTTTTTATAGTTATAATTTAGTTATATTCATCTATAGATTTTAAGTTTCATAAATTATTCAGTGTTCCGTTTTTAGCCTCATCAAATTGAAGGGGGTTTAATATTTACATGATCATAAAAACGGAACACTAAACGATTTGATCCTGATATTTAAAATCTATAGATAAATACATAACTAGTTTATAAATATAAAAAAAAAAGAATAACTCGACTAATTGCTCTCAGGATTGGGGTAGGAGGGAGGGCTAAGATTTTAAGTTTTTTTATTCCCAGTCTCCTTTTACTGTAATTCTTTTGTGAAGAATCTATATTCGTCTTACATGTGAACATAGCCAAATTTTGAATTTTCTTATTTTAAAGTTGTTTATTTCAAACATTAAAAAACCTGCATACTTTACTGAATTTAAGTAAGTGTTACTGCATTATTTTAAAAGGCTGATCAATGCTTTTAAAAAACAGAACAGTAATAAATTAGTAAAAAAAGGTTATAAGCATTATTAGTGTGTATGGTGTTATGTGGAAATGTTACTTAGATTTCTTTAAATACACTCCTTAAAAACATTCTAATTTTGTGTTGTTCTTTGTAATAAAGGTTTAAATAATTTTGCTATAGATGAGATCAAAATTTACTTTCCTATTCTTTTGAGTACGAATATTTTTATAAAGAAAAAAGAGTATTTTTAAAACCTAATGTTTAATAAATTTGTCTTTTAATCAATATTTGTAGAAAATCTGTCTTTAAATATCAACGAATCCCAGCATTCGTTAGTTATTGGGGCAAAATGTGAATGCATTTTTAAAGAGATTTAACTTATTGATGCAATGAATGCAAACATGTTCAATGGCGGATTATCCATTTGGCAAACTAGGCAGTTGTCTAAGGCCTAAAGTAGAGGCCTGTATATTTGGATTTTGTTAGGGCAAATTCGAGAACAATATATGCATAAATTAAACCCTCTGCCTAAGGTCCGATATGCCTTACTCCTCAACTCATTATGTTATTCTTTTTTATATCAATGACTTTTAAGTTATTTGTCAGAATTGAAAAACATGTTGTTTTAGCATTAATCAAGTTTACTGTAAAAAAAAATGGATAACTGTAATAAAAAATAACTTGATTTATGTTGTTACAACACTTTTTTTCTTTTCTTTTTTTCTCTGACTAAAAAGGAAAGGAAACTATATTAGCTTTAGTTTTATTTGAAAAGTAAAAAACTTTTCGAGGATCCTTTTGCGTCCAAATGTAAAGAACTCAATTTTGAGCCCATTGCATTGTTATAAAAGTTTCTATTAAAGGGATCCCTAACATATGATCTCATATAATAACATATAATCTAATAATCATATAATCCCTAAGTGCTCCTAACATATGATCTCATGTAAAAGAGCATTAAAAAATTATGTAAGTTTTTTTTCTTTTTCACTAAATTGTAATAATAAATGCATGCTAACAAAAAGCAGTTGCTGAAATCACTGAAAAACAACTCCATTTTGATTTTATTTTTTTACCATTGAATCTCGATTGTTAGTTGTTAAAAATCACGTTAGTACGTCACAACAACTTTAGAATATCTACTTCGATTTTCAAGTAAAAAAAAGTCGTGATTAAATAGTTAAGTTTTAATCAAGTTTTTTTAATTAGTTTTGCAAAAACAGTATAATAGAATTCGGTTGAAAGACGTTGTTAAAAAAAAGTTATTAAGTAATAGTTTTAAATAGTTTAGAACTTATAAAAAAGTCTTACAGGGCTCGTATTAAGTGTATCGCAATTGCTTTTCACACTTCCGCGATTAGTTTTTTCTTTAAAAAAATCTTTTCGCGATTTTTTTTTTTTTTTTTTCGGTTGTTACTTACTTTTTTTCTTGCTTAGCATTTTTTTTTTAGCAATTCTTAAAAGTAATGTTTTAACATAAAGAACGTCACACAAAATTTTTTATTCTGAATAGATTAATAGATGATTTGCTCTTTCACGCAAAGATTTTCTTTCAACCTAAAAAATTACTTTAAATCTCTGCGTGGAAAATTTTTAAAAGGTTGTTAAAGCGAAAAGTTGAAAAGGGAAAAGTTTCGTTTCGAGTTTTTTCTTCATTCTAACAAAACAGCCTGGTTTTTATCTTTGTTTATCAAAATGTTTAAAATAAGGCTTAAAAACGTTATAGCAAAAAAAATTGTTTCAAACAGAATAAAAGTGCTAATAAAAGACAGCAATTTTTTTGCTCTAACGTTTTTAAGCCTTATTTTAAACATGAAATATAATTCGATTTATTGAACCAAATTTTTTTGTTTCACTTTTTATTGGAAAACAATTGAAATAGAGAAATTGAATTAAAACATCAACTTAAAAACCATTTAAATGAAAAACTTATTTATATTTAAACTTTTATTAGTCCTTTATTCAAGAAACAATAAATTATAAAAACGTCGTTTTTAAAAATCTAATTTTTTATTAAGTTTTTGACGATGTTTTTTGATTTATTGACGATAATTTTTTAATTTATTAATTAAAACAATTTCATTTATTTGCTTCGTTTTATTTTAAACGCAATTTATGTTAATAAACTGTATAAACTGTTTTACATTAACACAAGCTATTTATATTTTAAAGACAACTTTTTGTTTTATTGTTGTTTTATAGCTTTTTACAATAACAATTAATACTAAAATAAATAAAAACGCGTGTTTTATCGTCAGCGTGATCGTATTAAACAATTTTCTATGACTAATTAAAGTGGTTTAAATATTGCAATGACGGATCCAGGAATTTTTGGTGGAGGATGTTGAAATATTTTTGAATTTTGTACCATGTTTGCGTCTC